ATTGTAGCTGCGTTTCGTAACAGTCAGGAAAGTTCAAGAGCCTTATGTAAAATTGAACAACTGTAAGGAATTGATCAAATGTCCCTGTCGATATAATGCCAGCGATAAATTATTATAAATGCATTTCGCGCTTGAACTTAAAAAAATTCAATCGGTTGTAACAGTACATGGTTCCGTGTAGACGATATGCAATTGAACTTTAGACTTGGCATAAATCTTGTTTGAAGCGTGCATTGTTATTGTCATTGATTTCATCTGGGGAGTTCAAAGGTCCCGTTCAATCGTTCTTTAAAAACCTGATACGTAGAGGAAGTGGGCAATTTGGATAAATCGTTTTGGAATCAAATATTGATTTCTATTGAAAATAGTTTTTCTTTGCCATGATCATGATATAGTAATATTTATTAGAATTCTAGCCTTATCGAGTTTGACTTACATTTTCAATAAAATGTATGCATACATTCCTACACATATCAACGCTCCACCTCACTCCTCATCATCCATCGACTTTACAATTCTCTACATACGAAACATACATGATCACAGAATGTTTCCTGTCGTTAAAATGGACAACATGTATCATTACAAAAAATTTCATATATAATATGAACTCATCAATTTTATATTTAAATACAAATATCGTCTTCTTGATAAGATTTGATTAATAGTAATTATGTACGATTCTTCAATCTCACGTTAATCTCACGAAAATGCGTTTTTCTAAGGTACATAAACTTTTGGGATTTACTGTATAGCCAATACATCCCTAAGAAGAAATTAGGGAAATTAGGAAATTAGTTGGAGAAGACCCATTTTCATCCTCGATATTTTTCAAGTTACTTTAATAACTTGGTTTTTGATTACGAAATATTCCTATACATTTTGAATTCTATAATATACACGGTAATTAGGGCAGACAAAGTCGGAACGAGGATACGACTTCATAATAATTCTGATAATCATGTAAGATCGTTATACTATCTTGATCTGTGCAAGAATGCACTGGAATTCCGTGTAAATGATAAATTGCTTTATAAACATCGTGCATTCTCTGTCAGCTACGAATTGAGACGTTTTGTAAGTAGCGAGGGGAAAGGATAACGAAAAGAGCCGGCGGATAAATAAATCCACCGTAAAATGCTGCTCCCTTTCCTTGGTCGTTGCACGTATCTCGTATACAGGATACGAGCGATTAACGTGGACACCACGGTTGAAACAAGAACGACATACGCTAGAAAAAAGAAGCGATATCGCCAGAATAGACCTCGTTTCTTCTTACATAACCATCGATAGTTTTAGTACCGGGTTGGACATTGTAATTAACGATTTGGTAACAATACTATAAAATACAGTCTATACTAATGGCAAATCTTGTCTTAATTAAAATCAGAATTTAATCGTCGAATGTATTATAATTAATAATACAATTTCTTTGTTCTCATAAAATTGATTAATTATTTATTTATGGTTGGATAGATGTAGAAAAAGATTGTAGCTGCGTTTCGTAACAGTCAGGAA